TATTGGTCTGTAGTTCTCCTTTTTGATGGGGTCTTTGTCTGGTTTTGGGATCAAGGTAATGTTGGTCTCATAAAAAGAGTTTGGAAGTTTTCTTTCCATTTCTATTTTTTGGAACAGTTTCAGGAGAATGAGAATTAATTATTCTTTAAATGTTTGATAGAATTTCCCTGGGAAGCCATCTGGCCCTGCGGTCTTGTTTGTTGGGAGATTTTTGATGACTGCTTCAATCTCCTTACTAATTATGAGTCTGTTCAGGTTTTCTATTTCTTCCTAGTTCAGTTGTGGTAGTTTATATGTTTCTAGGAATGCATCCATTTCTTCCAGATTGTCAAATATGCTGGCCTATAGTTGTTCATAATGGGTTCTTATAATTGTTTGTATTTCTTTGGTGTTGGTTGTGGTCTCTCCTCTTTCATTATAATTGTTTGTATTTCTTTGGTGTTGGTTGTGGTCTCTCCTCTTTCATTCATGATTTTATTAATTTGGGTCCTTTCTCTGATGTTTTGATAAGTCTGGCCAGGGGTTTATCAATCTTATTAATTCTTTCAAAGAACCATCTTCTAGTTTCGTTGATTTGTTTTACTGTTCTTTTGGTTTCTCTTTCATTAATTTCTGCTCTGATCTTTATTGTTTCTCTTCTCCTGTTGGGTTTAGGTTCTCTTTGCTGTTCTTTCCCCAGCTCCTTTAGGTGTAGGGTTAGGTTGTGTATTTGAGACCTTTCTTGTTTCTTGAGAAAGGCTTGTATTGCTACATATTTTCCTCTCAGAGCCGCTTTTGCTGTGTCCCAAGTACTTTGAACAGTTATGTTTTCATTTTCATTTGTTCCCATGAATTTTTAAAATGCTTCTTTAATTTCCTGGTTAATTTTTCTGATCCATATTGTTTTGTCTTATGGTATCACTCATCTCCTGAATTCTCCCCTCGTGGTCCAGTAATTGTTTATCTCTCTTTTTCTCAGATTCTTTATTCTCCATCATTTGGTCTTCTATATCACTAATTCTATCTTCTGTCTCATTTATCCTAGCAGTAAGAGTCTCCTTTTTTTTTTTTTTATTGCACCTCATTAATAGTTTCTTTTTTTATTTCAACTTGGTTAGATTTTAGTTCTTTTATTTCTCCAGAAAGGGATTTTCTATTATCTTCCATGCTTTTTTAAGCCCAGCTGGCACCTTGATAATCCTCATTCTGAGCTCTAGTTCTGACATTTTACTAATGTCCATATTGATTAGATCAGTTTTGCCTCTTGTTTTCTTTTGAGGTGAGTTTTTCTGCTTTGTCATCTTATCCAGATAAGAGTAGATGAATGAGAGAACAAAATACCAAAAGGGTAACAACGACCCCAGAAAGTTGTACACTAACTAAATCAGAAGATACCCAAAACTAGGGGAAGAAGAAAGAAAAAAATAATAGAAAAAATTATATATATATTTTAGACTGATGAATCAAACAGGGCCACACACTTGATTTTGGGTGTATTTTGATTTGTTAGATCTCCCAAATCTCCCAAAAATTTAAAGAAAGAAAACCATATATATATATATATATATATATATATATATATATGTGTGTGTGTGTGTGTGTGTGTGTATACACACACATATATATTTGCACAAATATATATATGTACATATATATACAAATAAAATATACAAAAATAAGGGTAAACATGATGAAGGGATGGAATATGACTTTAAAGATGAAAATTAAAAAAGATTCTAAAAAAGGAATTGCTAAGTAGTTTGTTGAAAAAGAAAAAAAAAAGTGGAAAGAATGTGATCAGACTGGAGACTAGACCAAATCCATGCTAGATTTAGGATATACTTTGATCTGTTAGAAGAAATTGTATCCTAAATTTTAAAGAAAGAAAAATCTATATGTAAACAAAAGGTAAGTTTAAATATAATGAAGGGATAAAATATGACTATAACAATGAAAATGTTAAAAGGTTTTTAAAAAGGTATTGATAAAATAGTTAAAAACAGTTAAAATAGGATAGAGGGGAAAATAAAAAATAGAGTAAGAAAAAAGTAAAATTTAAAAAAATTTAACTTTGAAAGATTAAAGAATCATGGGAAAGAAGCCATGAATTCTATGTGGTGTATTCCCATAGCTCTGAAGTTTTGCAGTTCTCATTGATCGGTGAACTTGTTCTTGGCTGGATGTTCTTGCTGATTTTCTGGCTGAGGGAACTGTTGCCGTGATTCTCAAATGTCTTTGCCTGAGGCAGAATTGCACCACCTTTGCCAGGGGCCAGGCTCAGTAATCTGCTTGGGTTCACTCTTGGGAGATTTTGTTCCCTGAACATTTTCCATACATCTTTGGAGGAGGAGTATGAAAGTGGTGGCCTCCCAAACTCCAGCCCAGAGGAGCCTATAGCTCAGGGCCCCACTCTCCAGTGTGTCCTCAGAGAAAAGCTGTCAATCACTCCCATATCCCTGGTCTCTGGCGAGCTCCCTGCTCACCCAGCCTGTGATCAAGCATTTCTGTCTCTGGCACATGGCCCCGTTTGGTCTCCAAACCCAGCAGATTCCTGTAACGCACTCCCACGCCATTCTTTCCAGAGGAAGAAAGGTGGGGCGGTCTCTTCAGTCTGCCACTTGTGGGGTTTCTGCTCAAAGAGAAGTGGCCCGACTTTGTCTTGGATCACAGTTTAAGGTAACCCCAAGCTGAGAGCCCAATCCTCAGCTCCATCTCTGCAGCTGGCTTCCCTGCTTTGATACCTGAGAGCTCTGCTGCACTCAGGCACCCCTGGTCTTTTTATGACTGTGCGGGTCTTGAGACTACACTGTCCCCTTGAGGTCTCCAGCCCCTGCTTAGCCTCTGGAGTGACATCCCTCAGTGGAGCAGAATTCTAAATTTCCAATTTTGTGCTCTGCTGCTCTACCACTACCAGGAGCTGACCCCTCTTCCCATGGTCTATCTTCCACTATATTGCCTTGGATTCATGTCTCTGTACATACCTTCCAGAAAGTGGTTGCTTTTCTTTTCCTAGAATTGCTGCTCTTCTTCTCTTTGATCTCCTGTTGAGTTTGTAGTTGTTTGAAATGGTTTGATAACTATTTAACTGAACTCCTAGGACATAATGATATTTAGGTCTCCTACTCCACCACCACCTTGCTCCTCCCCCCCCCCCAGATTTTTTTTGATAAATACATTTGCAGGGTTGCACAGCACAGTACTATACAAAAATGATTTTCTTAACAAAGGTTTTTCTCTAGATTGCTCTATTGTAAGAACACAGTATATATATATATATATATATATATGCAAAATATGTGTTAATCCACTAATGTTATCAGTAAGGCTTCTGATCAATAGTAGACTATTGATAGTTAAGCTTTGGGGGTGCCAAAAGTTATACACTGATTTTCAATTATGCAGGTGTCAGTCCCCCTAAACCCTTCGTGTTGTTCAAGGGTCAACTGTATCTGTACATTTCCAGACTGGTGATTTTGTGTGTCATTTCTTCTGTGCATAAGGATAGTTTTACTCCTCCTTTTCTAATTAGATGCCTTTTGTCTTATCTGATTGACTGACCAGATCTAGTACAATGCTTGGTGATGAGAGTGGACATCTCAGCCCCCCCTTTTTTTTTTCTCTGATCTTAGAGAGGGAAAAAATCAAGTCTTTCACCATTACAGTGTTAGCTGTACATTTTGTTTTTTTTTTTTTAGCTTCTGTTTATCAAGGTGAGAAACTCCCTTCTCTTTTTGATTTGATGAGAGTTTTATGAGGATTGGATATTAGATTTTGTCAAATGCTTGTTCTTTTTATCTACTGAAGTAAACACATGGTTTTCTTTAGTTTGCTAATATAGCAGAACAGAGTTTGATTTTAAGTGTAAGCTCAAACCTGCATCCATAGGGAAAATCCCAGTTGGTTAGGGTATATTATCCTTTTACTATATTGCTGGGTTAATTTGTTAAATTTTTATTTGGAATATTTTCATTCATGCTCAAGACAGCTATAGATTTGTACTTTTTTTTTCCTCTTGCACTGTCTTTGGTTTTAAGAGTAGGATAATACTGGTGTCAAAGAATAAATTGACGAGCATTCCCTCCTATATAATTTTCTAGATGAGATTGTGTAAACTTAGTATTAGTTCTTTAAATGTTTGGTGTAATGCTTCACTGAAATCATCTGGATCTGGAAATTTCCCTTTGGGAAGATTTAAAATTATGAATTCAGTCTCTTTAATGAGTGTAGAATGATACATATACTCTCATCTTGGAGGCATCAGTAGTTAATACTTGCTCTCCATCTGTCTGGCCAGACATATTTCTTAACTACTTTCAATACCTCCTTCATCTTTTTTATATTTGTGTGTGTGTGTGTGTGTGTGTGTGTGTGTGTTCTCACCTATAAAATGGGCCCTGTTGAAATCAGTCTTAAATGAGAATGAATGCAAAAATTTATAAATGATAAATCTCTCTGAAATATCATTTTTGTTTTTTTTCTTAGAAGGCTATATTTATATATGCTGTTGGATATATATACACTCTTTTAATATATCAACCACATCTATAAGGAGGAGATTAAAATATCAAAAAATAAGAACAGAGTTGATTCTTATTTTTGTTAAAATTTAATTTTATAGGAAAATATTTTGGAAATTTTGCACTAAATTATTTATCTGGGCTGAATCTAGCTGGGGTGAATTATAAATACTAGAAAATATTACACAAGAATCACTCATGTGGTTTCTTACATAATTTTTTTATTCTAAAAGATGATTACTTTTGCTTAAAGAAGAGGCCATGAGACAAAGGTAAGTGTCAATCTTTGAATTTATTCTTTATTCAAGTAAAAAGTCATTTCACAGGAATAACAATGATGTTTCAGTCTCTCTCTCTTTTCTTTTCTTTCTTTCTTTTCTTTTCTTTTTTTTTTTTTTTTTTGGCATGTTGTTTCAGGAATCATGTACTTCTCCATTTCAATCCAGTGTTCTAGTGACCTAAGGTCTATGGTTATACAATTTACAAAATTGTCAACTTAATTCGTTAAGTTTAAAGTACCAAATTTCGATCAAAGTCCAAAGTTGTCCTCATAGACTATGCTGCTTGTGTAAATATCTGCATGAAAAGAGATTTCTATAGAGAGGAAAAAAGATGAATTACTGAGTGGAACCATATTTGTAACTAACATGCCTACAATTTCCCCTGTGGTATGTTTCAATAAAATGTTGCAGCTCTCTTCACTTAGTCCTGTGCAATGCACAATGGGCATCTCAGTAAATTTTGTTTTCACATAGGCAAGTTGCCTTGCACTTTTCCTTAAGCAATTCGTGTCCACAACCAGCTGTTTTCTTCAAGGAATCACAGTTACTAAGGAGATCTTCAAACTCGCAACTGTTGGCTGTGACAAAAATAAATGAGTTCATTATCATTTTCTTCAATAGCAGCAAAATAATGCTGTACATTCAAAAGTGCATGAGGCCATAAAGATTGGACAAATCAAGTCAATGTCACTTACACAATGATGGGCTTTCCGTTTCTTGTGAGAAATATCTTGTGAGCCTGAGTTGAGCTCACTGATTAAAGTATCACTTTTTATTTTGAACTTGGTGATATGTTTCCAAAATAAATTGACCTATTTTTCTTCTTTAGCCAATAAAGTTAAATAAATATAAATAAATCTCTCTACACCTTCAGTGTCTAATATGGGAACCACTAGTCCCATATAGATATTTACATTTAAATTACTCTATATTAGATAAAGTAAAAAATTTAGTTCCTTAATCTTACTAGCCACATTTCAATATTCAAAGGCCACATGTGACTAGTTTACTTGTAAGACACATGCTGATACAGGACTTTTTCTTTATTTCATACTATTGAACAGCACTGGTTTAGACTCCAGTGTTTGCTTCCTTGAGAAAGGAATTTCTATGGGAAGATAAAGATGCAAAACAATGATAACATGTCCCCTTTCCTTCTGGTATTTCTTTCTGGATCCTCCCCAGAGGCCACGAACTCAACAAATCTCAAACTAAACTCATCATACTACCTGTATGGCTGACAATTCTTGGGTATGTTCTTCCTGTAAACCCCTTCACCCTCGTCTCCCTACATCCCCACTAACAATGTCAGAGAAATGGCTCTCTAACTACTCAGTAATTTAGACCAAAAACTGGATCAGTTTGACGTCCTTCTTCCCTACTTCTGATCATCACTCAATCAGCACAGGTAACAAACATTGGCTATTCTATTCCTTATATTCCAACCCCATCCAATTCTCTTCATTATTTTGTCAGTAATGTGGTAGAGAGATTTTTTTTTTTAAACCCATAGTCAGTTTTCTAGCTGACTTACATCCAATTGTCTTTCCATACTATTGCTAGAAAGCTCTTTATAAAACATGGTTACAACCCTGTCACCCTTGTTTAAAATATTTCAACTGAGTGCTTATTGATAATAGGATAAATTATAAGCTTCTTCCCAAATAACGTTCAGCAGAGCTATTAATATGTAACTTTTTTTCCTTCTTTAGCTGATTGATATTCTAAATAATATTCTGAATAATAGCTATATAATTCAGTCAGTAAGAATGCTAACTAAAGATGAATGCATTTGAAAGTTAAAAATCTCAGTGAATGAGTTTCATTCAATTCTATTATTCACAATAATTTTAATACAAGTATCCTAACTATAAAGAGCTAAGAGCTATTTTTACTTCTACTCATTACAACTTTAGAAATTATGTATGTGAAATTTATTTTCTCCCTTTTTGCAACAGTATTTTTGTGGGCTCTGTATATATGTAACACTATATACAGATTTGATTTTGTCATTAAAAATGTACAGTAATGACAATGTTGTTGACTGAGGAAAAGAAAAAAATGCAGTAGACTACTATCAAATTATAGAGAAAGTGATTATTAATTTAAACACTATGATTCCAATTTTACTATAGAAAAAAAGAGGTAGTTAGCATAATGAACTCATTAGCACAAAAATAGTATAATATTTGATTTGCCTGTCTAGATTCAGATATAATGTGATCTTATATGCATAGTTTTGCATTTCAGAATAGGACTTTTGACACAATCATACTAACTTTATCTGAACTATTTGCCAGAAATATGTATAATTAATATTAATAGCTATGCTTAGTAACAAAAATATGTGAATGGCAGATCTTTCATTATCTTACATATGGCAATACTCTTTTCATTACAAGTAATATGTAGGTTACTAAAGTGTGTAAAATGTTTACATAAACACATGCTGTGTTGAGTAACATATTTGTCTTCTGCATAACGATATTATTTAAACTGATTACTTTAGGAGATTTCTCAACCCACAGAAAGAAAATAAAATATCAACTTTTTATTATAATAGCAAGGTGATCACTTCAAACTTACTGCATAGTCCATTGTCACAGTTACCAGGGCAACTGGCACAAGGTGTCCCTTGTTGGTAAGGGGTATTCTTTTTACTCACGTTATTGCCACTGAAATTTAAAATACCTAATGTCAAATACTTTTCACTTTATAATTTAGTTTATACTCCCCAAGGGCAGTATAAATTACCAAACATACATGACTACAAATGTTTTCAGTTATGTTAAAAAAGTTAAAAATTATAATGCCCAGTGAGTAATTCAGGTAACATTCAAATTAAGAAAATGCTTCACATATTGACCAATTTCCTTGACTATAATTATTCCGATTGCGCAACTAAATTAGAGTAATTAGAGTCTAAAGTTTTCAAAGTATATTTCAATGTGGTCACACTTTCTTCATGTCCCAGCAGACTTGGTCAAACTGGCAAGGCAGTATAGCCCAATGTGTTAGCTAGAGGTAGAATATATCCCCTAGGGAGACAAAAGAGCTCCTGGGAGGCAAGTAGTTGCAGTTGGAAAAGAATATTTAATGTTACAATATCATTTTATAGTTGAAAGATAATAAAATACCAAATTTCTTAGATATAATCTAGAAACAGTAAACTCCAGTATATATATACACATATATATGTACTTCAACTTTTAGATGAGGGCAGGGATATTTAAGTTAAGTTAGTGGTGTGTGTTTCTGGAACAGGCAGAGAGAAGGAAATTTGTGAGTTTCTAGAGGTATGTGAGACATTTTTAATCTTACCAAACACAGGGAATGTTCACTCAAAAATTTTGACAAGCATGGATATCCAGAGTGTAACACATTACAGTGACTAACTTACAACTTGCTCATGATCATTACCTATTAGCCATTTAATTTATTTGAATTACAAGTGAGTCCAAATCTCAATAGTGTCAAGTGGGCCAAGAATACAAGGTCAAGCATCTGAATCTCTCCCTGCACAGAACATAACGACCATGTGTGAGCCCCTGGAAAAATGTGAAATAAGACACAAACATGTTCTGGAAGTTCTCTCACCCCTGCTTTTCCTCATTATTCACTCCAACTCTCACTTCAGATGACTGGCTCCAGACCCTCTCTCTCAGAGCCAGCCGGTGAGTTTGGGTGCATTCTCCTAGGACCTCTCAATTCTTTCTACTAAACCTTAGTAAGTGCTTGCAGGAAAATGATGTTGGAGGTCATACCTCTCACTCTGGAGGATCACATGCTTGGATTATCTACAGTCTCAAAACAAATCCTATAGGAGCCTTGCTTCTAGGGATCTCCCTGTCTCCAGTGGCATGAAAGTTCAAGCATTAAAAGAATTTAAGATTAACAGGTAAATTGAGATTAGATCTTCAGTATATCCACAGAATTTATTATGGGTAAATTCAGACATAATCCTTGATGGAAAGAACATATTTCCTGCTATAGGTCAAGACCTTAAAAAATGATTCATTGTGGAGATTTTGTGAAAACTTCTGAAAAACAAAGACTGAAGATTTTTTTTTTTTCTGGACACTGAAGTATATTAACGATCTCTTGAAAAACCTTTGAGATGCAAAAGAATGAATAATCTGCGAGGAAATAATGTGGGTGATTTTTTAGATTAACGGGATAAGGGATATTTTAGCAGGAGAAATGGAAATCACAATCTTCCATCCCCTACTTGCCACTCCACAACCATCCCTTGCTTAACCATCAAGCTGCAACCTCCTAAAGTGTGAAGTTAGTGAGAACTGATGATATCAAGTCTAGAGTAGTGAGCCCAAGGGAAAGGTGACTGAGAAAAAAGATGCTACTTTGTAACTAAAGAAAGAGAGTTTCAGATTTTATACTTGGGAGTTGAGAACCTGGTCTCTTCCCTGAGAACTTGAATGTATCTCAACTTAAAAGGCATTCCCATGATCCCAGAGTCCTGGGATTGGGCCCCTTATCGGGCTCTCTGCTCGACAGGAAGCCTGCTTCCCTTCCCCTCTCTCTGCCTGCCTCTCTGCCTACTTGTGATCTCTGTCTATCAAATAAATAAATAAAATCTTTTAAAAAAAAGGCATTTCCAAAGATGTATTCCTTCTGGATGGACCTAAAAGGGTATTTGTTAAGTGAAGCAAGTTAGAGAAACACAGACACCATACTATTTCACTTATATGGGGATGCTAAAAACACAAACAAACAAAAGCAGAAACAGACCATAAGTACAAGAACAAACTGATGTTTGACAGAGGGGCAGAGATTGGCAGCAATGAGGGGATGGACAAAATAGTTGAAAGGGAGTGGGTGATACGGGCTTCCAGTTATGGAAAAAGTAAGTCATGGGGATAAAAAGTACAGCATAGGGATAATAGTCAATAGTACTGAAATAGTTATAATAACATGGGACACCTGGGTGGCTCAGTTGGTTAAGCATCTGCGTTTGGCTTAGGTCATTATCCCAGGGTCAGTGGGGAGACTGCTTCTCCCTCTGCCTGCCGCTCCCCCTGCCTGTGCTCTCTCTCTGACAAATAAATAAAAATATTTAAAAAAATTAAAAAATAGCTATAATAGCATCATATGGTGACTGCTGTTAGCTACTCTTGCAGTGAGCATAGTATAAAGTGTAGACCTGTCACTATGTTATACATTGTGACATTGTATATGAACTATGCATCAATTTTAAAAAATGAAAAAAGGAATTATTCTTTCCCTTTACTGAAATATGTTTTATGTTCTAATTTGTTTACTATAAAAGAATTTTAAAATACTAAATTGCACATAGGATTATTGCATGAAACTCTAAAGTGTATACTTACGCAGGACAATATTGGCAAACATAGTAGTATTTTAGATTCTCTTGATTGGGACAATAGGCAATTCCACATCCAACATGGTAAGTAGAGTACCAAACGAGCTACAATTCCAAAAGGGAATATATGAGATCACATTCAAGATGAGGGAAAATATTTAAAAAATAGTAGCAACTATAAAACTGAAAAAATGGTACTATTATAGCTTGTAGCCAAGTACCTTTTGAAAATATTTACAATTGAAGAAAATCACAAATTTTAAAATATTAAATCTTAACATGCCTTCACTATTTTATCCATTTCTAATTTTGAGAAAATATGGAGTATGCTTCCTTACCAAGAGTTTTGCAAGTGATGGAAAAAAAAGACAACTCTCGATGAAGTACCAGCCAACGTCAGGACTATCATATCTATTCATGCTCTTACCCAAATTGAACATTGGACTTGGTCATAATTTAGAGATGCTTTCATATTAGAGCATTTGTGGTCAAAGTATTTTTATTTGTTTGTCTTACCTGGGTGTAATGTCCAACAACTGCATTGGAACTCTTAGGTCCTACACCATAGACAAAATTATGGCGCTCATCATACCAGCTTTGGATTGCATCTGACCATGGAGCAGGGTTACTTGACATATAGAGATTCTCACCACATTTTGTACCTAAAGATAAATGGATCATTCTTGAGGAAGCAATAGAGTATTCAATGGCAAAAGAAATCAACTATATAAACACAAGGATGGGGGCACCTGGGTGGCTCAGTGGGTTAAAGCCTCTGCCTTCGGCTCAGGTCATGATCCCAGCATCCTGGGACCGAACCCCACATCGGGCTCTCTGCTTCGTGGAGAGCCTGCTTCCTCCTCTCTCTCTGCCTGCCTACTTGTGATCTCTGTCTGTCAAATAAATAAAATAAAATCTTAAAAAAAAAAAAACCCACAAGGATGTTGCCCTTCAAACACAGTGCCTATACTTATAACTCATAATACTTAATAAAAGGGCTTCCATTCTTCTCAGCTCTAAAGCTGAACAGAAGATAGATCTATCTTGGGACACCTGGGTAGCCTAGTAGGTTAAGAGGCTGACTCTTGATGGGCTCAGACCATGATCTCAGGGTCTTGAGATCTAGTCTTGCATCAGGCTCTCCACTCAGCAGGGAGTCTTCTTGAGGATTCTCTCCCTCCACCTTCACCATTCTATCTAAAATAAATAAATAAATCTTTTAAAAAAATCTGTTTAGGACACTGAGGCTGGCATCAACATGCAAAACTTTGCACAGGTTAAGAAGACCTTACGCTTCAAAAATCTTCTGGAGTTTCAGAAATGCATTCTTTTTCAGGCTAAATTCTTCACATTGTATTAACTCCTATGCTCTCAGCTTTGTATCATAAATTCGTGAAAGGCAGTGAACAACTTTTATTCCTTTTCTCCTCCTCTCATCCATCTTCACCAGAGATTTTTCACATACTGGACCCTGTTCTCAATGTTTATAACTATGATTTTGTGTGAAATTGATAAAAAGAGTTCTACAGGCAGTCTATAAGAGCCTCAATTTATAGGCATCTGACATCAGGAGGAATGGCAGATTTCAAAGCTTTTGGAGTCTTTCTTAATCACTAAATCAGAATGTCATAAGGCCAATCTTCCTCAGAGAATTAGCCAAGAAGAGCCTTGCAGAAGGTGACATCAGAAAGATGGGGGAGTAGGGAGCCCCAGACTCTCCTTTTCCTAACAAATACACAGATTCAGCAATAATTTCCAAACAAATTGCCCTTTGTGGGAAAACTAACTGAAAGACTCCTAGATCATGGGAGAATATCATGGGAGAATTCTCATGGGAGAATATGGGAGAACTGAAGTCTGTAGGGAAACTGGGACACCCTTTTGCTAGAATGCCTACCCTCAGCACAGTGCTTCCCCTATGATCAGGAAGAGGTCTCCTAGCTCCCAGCTTCTCCTAGGGGAAGGAAGGTGTTGGTTTTTGTGTCCAGCATCCCAACCTTCCCTAAGGAAATTCCCCAGAGATGGTTGGCTTCTTTCTTGGTAGTCTTGGGAGTTCTGACTATCAGGCACAGGCTAGTCATCTGGAGGAGAATGGAGATGCTGGCTTTAGCTGGTAGTTACCATATCTCCTCCCCTTGGCTTAGTTCTTAGTTCTCAGCTTCCTCCTGGGGAAGCAAAGAGTTGATTGGTGTGTCCATTGCTCCAATTTCTCTAGGGCTGCCTGAAGAACTGACATCAGCCTTGCTTGTCTTAAAGCTCTGAGGGGTTTGACATAGTTTCAGTGTTACTCCCTGGGGGAGAACAGAGATGGTGGTTTGGATTGGTAGATGCCATTTCTCAGCTCCCCAGCATAGCACACAGTGAGCAAGTACCATATCTACCTGTTTCTCCCTGGAGTGGGAAAAAGTTGGCCTGGGCATCCAGTGCCACAAATATTCCAGATGTTGCCCAGAAAATTGACTTCTGACTTGCCTCTCTGAAAATGACAGATCTAGCATAACCAAGATGAGCATAGAGATTTGGGTTCATAAATGCCAGCTTCCCTTCCTTGTTCAGCACAGAATAAGTAGATTAAAAAATCCAAACTTCTAGCCTCTTCATGAGTAGAGAAAGAGTTGGATGGAATGCCTAAAGATCCATCTCTTTTAGGAGGCTGCCTGAGAAATTGACTACAGATCTTTTCTGACCACAGTTTGATTGGACATTCTCCAAAGATGCACAAATGGCCAACTGGTATGTGAAAAGGTGCTCAGTGTTGCTAAACATAGGGAAATGCAAATGAAAACCACAATGAGATGTCACCTTACACCTGTCAAGAAGTCTCTTCTGGGGGAAAACAAAACTGACAACAAGTGATGATAAAGATGTGAAAAATTGGAATCCTGTATAATTTTGTTGGGCATAAAAAATGGGGTAGCTGCTGTGGAAAAAAACAGAGTTCCTCAAAAAATTAAAGTTAGAACTACCAATGATCCAGTAATACTACTTCTGGGTATTTATCCAAAAAAATTGAAATCAGGGTTTTGAAGCAATATTAGCATTCTTCATATTCATTGCAGCATTCTTCACAATAGCCTATATATGGAAACATAAAATCTGCGGACAGATGAGTGGATGGACAAAATGACACCCATATATACACAACAGCTTTCGTTCATCCTTAAAAAAGAAGGAAATTCTGCAACACTTGGGTGAGACACTATGGATGAATCTTGAAAACATGATATTAAGTGAAAAAATCCAGTCACAGAAAGACAACTATTACATGATTCCCTTTATATGAAGTACATAAAATAACCAAATTCATAGAACCAAAGAGTAGAACAGTAATAGATAAGGATGGGGGGAAGGAGAAATGGGAAATTACCAATCAATGGGCATAAAGTTTCATTCATAAAGATGAATAAGTTCTAGATTAATAACTTCTGCTGCAGGACATTGTACCTAATGTCAGTAATATCATACAGTACACTTACTTGTTAAAAGTGTAAGTCACATGAAGTGTTCTTACCACAATAAAGAAAGTAATTTCTTGCCCAGAAACTTTTCTTGATCTTTTCAACCTCTCAATTATGAATTACATTTTGGTAGCTTAAAATATAATGTCTATTTGTTGCTTAAAGAGAGTATAAAATATTCTTGTCTATGTCTTTTAATATAGAAAAAAGAAACTAAGAATCTAATAGTAGACTTGCATCTCTAAGACCATTTGTTTTAATCTTCTACTGAATGCAGTCATTCTTTTCATAATTTCATTAACAGAGCAGCATCAACCATATAAGTAAATAATGTGATTAAATTACAGGTAAAAATTTGTTGCTTTCAAATTGAGCTTGCCTATATGTATATTATGGTTGAAAATATAAATAAATATTTTATTGTAAGGTTTATGCATAAAACATCTTTTCTTTCATGGTGTTTATAATACTTGACAAGAATTCAAAAATTAAAAATGAATCAACATACCAAAATATTTATCATAATTTTTAAAATTTAAGTATTTTTAGAGCAATATTCACAAAATTCAGGAGCAAATCACCTTAATTTAGTATATTTTATGAATACAAAAGAAGAGATATGAAAACATCAGATAGCTACACAGGATCACAAAAAAGAGCAGTGGATTAGAAATAATTAAGGCTGGTTAACTTTCCAATATATGACACACTTCAGATTGTGACTTGGGGAAGTCATTTTTCCCCTGTCCTCATCTTCTCATCTTTAAATTTGGAGAAATGATGATACATGACTTATTGACTCATGAGCTGGTTGAAACAAAAAAGTGGAGTATTGCTTCAAGTATCATTTGCATAATGTAAACAATCAACAAGTGCAAAATGGTACCTATAATTCTCTCTCCTTCTACAGATACTTTGATTTTAAAAAAGGAGAATATAGGGACACTTGGGTGGCTCAGTGGTTAAGCATCCAACTCTTGATTTCCACTCAGGTCATGATCTCAGGGTCATGAAATCAAGCCCCGTGTAAGCCTCCACACTTGGCATGGAACCTGCTTGGGATTCTCTCTTCCTCTTCCTCTGCCCCTCCCCCCCCACTCATATTCTCTCTCTCAAAAACAAAAACAAAAATATATAAATAGAGCAGTATAAGCAATGTTTATTCTCTAAGTCTTCTTATAACATACCGGAATGTTCCATTCTATCTGATTTTTTCAATATCATTTTATTAGTTCATCTATTCAAAAAATATTTACTCATTTACATACTAGTTTTTCGGTCCTCTGGCACACTGTGTTCCAAAGTGCACTTGTTTGCCCACTTTTGTGCATTTGCTGCTGCTTCTCTGTTCCATTCCTAAATGTCACAAGAAAAAAAAATACACTTAAAAATTCAACTCCTATGAAGCATATGGTTTATAATCTGATTGGTAGGTTGATTTGCACTACTTTAAACTTCTATAGATAATTATCTGATCATCAGTGGTATGCAAAAACCTTTTTGGTAGGGGGGTATATAGGCATGTGTGCATTTATTTGCTCCAGTGCCAATTTCCACATGAAGAGAAGTTCATAAATGATGACTAGATAGAGATAGAGAAATATCTAACATAATATCTGACAATTTATGATAGTACTGGAACCACATGCAGGATTTTTAGTAATGGGGCTACTCTAAATACTCAACATGTGAAGTCTTTGAATTATATTTCCTTAGTAATAAGCAGGCCTAGATTATTCCCAATTCTAATTGTAGCCCATTGGTTTCAAATGGGAGATAGTCTAGCATTTATGAACCATGCTGTGGAAAGTGGGCTCTTATTTACCCACAGGATTCTTCGGATCCTGAGTCTGAGCCTCACATTGGGCATAAAGATTAATTAAAAAGAATAAAATACATGAAAGAAAGGGACCTCCTTTAGACTAGGGCAGATAGTGACAAAAAAGTGCAATGGCCTCACATTTGATGTCTGAAGATCTGGCTCTAATGTTGCCTTCCTGACTGAATATCCCTATAAATTTGACAGATTATTTAACCATTAAAAAGGAAAAATTTTCTGCCATGCCCATAACACAGCTCAGATGAAATAGCAGAATAGAAGAAAAACTTTGTAAGCACAAAGTTCTTAAGAAATCCCTGCTCTGGGGTGCATGAGTGGCTCAGTGGGTTAAAGCCTCTGCCTTCGGCTCAGGTCATGATCCCAGAGTCCTGGGATCGAGTCCCACATCGGGCTCTCTGCTTGGTGAGGAGCCTGCTTCCCCCTCTCTCTCTGCCTGTCTCTCTGCCTACTTGTGATCTCTGTCTGTCAAATAAATAATAAAAAAATCTTAAAAAAAAAAAAGAAATCCCTGCTCTTATCACTGCTAGCTCACATCATTAGCCCTTATCATTGCCTCTTACCATCTTTAGCATGTTGCTGGCAGGTGGAGAGACTGATTTCCTTAGTTCATTGTGTTTATTTACAATATCTTTTTGGATTTGCGTTTGAGTGGTTAGCAAAGCAGTAAAGGATGGGTCCTAAAAGGAAATAAAAATCAAGGTTATCTTCTTAACATTTGTTAAAGTTTCATTAAAGAATGAATAAGCAAATTCAAGGGAACAAAGATCATTTTAAGAGCATTCAGTTCAAGTCAATATTAGTTGTTAAGCATTGCCAATGAACCTGAGCCAAAGCTATGACAAATAGAAAAGAAGTCATTTGAAGCTTTGAGAAGGAGGGTGAAATTCATGGCATAACAAATTAAAATCTCCTCTGAGGCCACAGATGCCAATTTCTAGTTTCATGGTAATTATTAATGTACTTTTTCTCCTTTCATGGCCATGTTATCTCTCTGGTCCATATCCTGGTTTTCACTTATAAAATTATTTGAAGAGAGATATATTTTCTCTTTTGCACTGCTATGTGTTTGTTAATCAGATTCTCTACTTTCTACCTTATATGGTTTACTGGATCTTCTCTGTGATTCTTCTAGACATATGAGTGATATTTTATAACCACAAAGGCACACAACAGGAACTTTAAGACATATTCATTCATATTTGATCAGGTTGCAGTAGGTGGGATGAGAGTGGGGCTCAAGATTCACCCTAGACTTTAAGGGAACTTTGACCTGATATGGTCTGTATTTAAAGAAATAATGTATTCAGAATGTATTTAGAGAAAGAATGTTCAGGAGTTCAAATTTCATTCAATACCTTAGTAAACTTATTCCTATTACAGTAGATATTATTATCTATTTTATTACAATCTGTATTTCTGAATACCAAATAAGTTTTCAGCCAGTGGCAGAATTCTCTGGTCTGATGAGTTCTAGTCTTACTAGTCTCTGGTCCTGGGATATCTTCCTATATGCCCGGAGTTAAAGATAGGGAAACAGCAATGACCAGAGCTCCTTACAATCAAGAGATTTTCTGATCAAGAGATAGACATTGTATATGGGCACCTACCCTCCCAGTCATTGAAAAGGATGACTGATCTTGGTCTTGGGATTATTTAAGCAATATAGTTTATTCAAATTAAAAGGTTTGAATTCAAGAGGTAGGCTTCACATATCAAGCATTTTTGAGCATGAATAAGAAAGCAAAACAAACACTAAGACTTTTAGAGGTAGATTTTTTTAAATGTAAAAATAAGTATAACTTTATCATGCAGTAAGGATGAAAATTAAATGTGATATATGAAATAGTGCTAATTTAAAGTTATGTCATTGTTAGTTCTCTTTAAGATCGCACTGAAGCACATTAAATAAAAGAAATGGGAAACGATCTTGTGGAGAGAGGACTATCATTAGCTTCTTAAATCATAGACCATTGCATTCATTAGAAAAATAATTCAAGCATAACATGTAATTTTAACATTTTGGTGGTCAAATTAAAAAAGTAAAAAAATTAAGTGATATTAATTTATTTTATAATTTTTTAAATGTTATTTCATCATGATAAGTGCACTCTTAATCCCCATCACCTATTTCCCCCATCCCCTCACCCACATCCCCTCTGGTAACCATCTATTTGTTCTGTATAGTTAATAGTCTATTTCTTGGTTTTTCTCTCTCTCTCTTTTTTCTCTTCTCATTTGTTTTGCTTCTTAAATTCCACATATAAGTGAGATCATATACTATTTGTCTTTCTCTGACTTATTTTGCTTAGCATTGTACTCTAGCTGTATCCGTATTGTTGCAAATGGCAAGATTTCATTCTTTTTATGGCTGAATAATATTTCATTATATAGATGTACACAATATATACATTATACACACACACACACACATTATTCTATCTATCATCTGTCTATCTACCTATGTACCACCCACGTATATCACATCTTAATCCATTCATCTATCAGTGGACACGTGGGCTGCTTCCATAGTTTGGCTATTGTAAATAATGCTGCAAGAAACATAGGGGAGCATATATCTTTTCTAACTATTGTTTTGATATACTTTGTGTAAATACCCAGTAATGAAATTACTGAATCGTATGGAAATTCTATTTTTAATTTTTTGGGGAAACCTCCATATAATTTTCCACAGTGGCTGCACCAGTTTGCATTACCAACAATGGTGCACAATGGTTTCTTTTTCTCTACATCTTTGCCAGTAAGTTGTTTTTTGTGCTATTGATTTTAGACATTTTGACAGGTGTGAGGTGACATCTCATGGTTTTGATTTGTATCTCCGTGATGATGAGTGCCGCTGAGCATCTTTTCACGGTCTGTTGGCCATCCGTAGGCCTTCTCTGGAAAATGTCTGTTCATGTCTTCTATCCATTTTTAATTGAATTATTTTTGTGTTTGTGTTGAGTTGAATCAGTTCTTTAAATGTTTTGGATATTTACCCTGTATCAAATATGTCATACGCAAATATCTTTGCCCATCCAGGACATTGTTTTTTAGTGGTTATTTTTTTCCTTTTTCTTTTATTTTTCTTGCTGTGCAGAAACTTTTTATTCTGTTGTAGTCCCAATAGTTTATTTTTGCTTTTGTTTCCTTTGCCTCAAGAGACAGATCTAGAAAAATGTTCCTAGAGCTGATGTCAGAGACATTACCTGCTGTGCTCTCTCCTAAGGGTTTTTATGGTTTCAGGTCTCACATTTAGGTCTTTAACCCTTTTGGAGTCTACTTTTGCATGTGGTACAAGAAAGTGGTCCAGTTTCATTCTCTTGAATGTGACTGCAATGGATTATTTTCCTAACACCATTTGTTGAAGAGACTGCCTTTTTCCCACTGTATATTCATTCCTCCTTTGTTGAGGATTAATTGACCATATAATTGTGGATTTATTTCTGGATTTTCTGTTCAGTTCTACTGATCTGTGTGTCTGTTTATATGCCAGTACCGTACTGCTTCCATTACTATAATTTTGTAATATAACTTGTAATGTAATGAATTGTGATACCTCCAGGTTTGCCTTTTTTTCCCCTTTGTTTTCAAGACTGCTTTGTGTATTTGAGGTCTTTCGTGGTTCCATGCAAATTTTAGGATTCTTTGCTCTAGTTCTGTGAAAAATGCTATCGGTATTTTGATAGGGATTGCATGCAATCTGTAGATTGCTTTGGGTAGTATAGACCTTTGTTCTTCCAACCCACGAGCATGGAATGTCTTTCCAATTCTTGGCATCATCATAAATTTCTTTCACCAGTGTTTTATGGTTTTCAGAGTACTGGTCTTTCACCTCTCTGGTTAAGTTTATTCCTAGATATTTTCCTGTTTTGGGTGCAATTATAAATGGAATTATTTTCTTATTTTGACTTTGTGCTGCTTCATTATTAGCATATAGGAATGCAACAGATTTCTGTGTATTGATTTTGTATCCTATGAGTTTACTGAATTCATGTTTCAGTGCTAATAGTTCCTTGGAGGAGTCTTTAGGGTTTCTATATAGAGAATCATGTCATGTGCAAATTGTGAGGGTTTTACTTCTTTCTTACCAATTTGGATGGTTTTTATTTCTTTATGTTTTCTAAATGCCATGGCTAGAACTTCTAGGACTCTGTTGAGTAAATGTAGTAAGGATGGACATCCTTGTCTTGTCCCTAATCTAAGGGGGAAAGCTCTCAGTTTTTCACCACTGAATATGATATTGGTTGTGAGTTTTTCACATAAGGCCCTTATTATGTTTTGGTATGTTTTCTCTAGACCTACTTTGCAGAGGCTTTTTATAATGAATGGATGTTGCACTTTGTCAAATGCTTTTTCTGTATATATTGACAGGATTGTATGTTTTTTATCCTTTCTCTTATTCATGTGACATATTGCATTGATTATTTTGTAAATATTGAACTACTGTTGTATTCTGGGAGTAAATCCTACTTGATCATAATGTATGATTTTTTAAAAATATTGACATTATTTTAAGCAATAAATTTTACTTTTAATGGCTTGACTAATAGTCTACAAAAATAACATGTCTACATCCTAATCCCCAGAATCTGTCAATGTGACCTTCTCTGTATATAGTTAAGAATCTCAAGATTCAATTATCCTGGATTATCTAAGTAGGACCAAAATCCATCGACAAGTATCCATATAAAAGACAGAGAGAGGAGAAGGTGATGTGAAAAGGGAAGCAGAGAATATGTGATGTAGCTACAAGCCTAGTTATCACAATGACTTGTCAAAGCCAGCATAAGCTAAAAGAAAGAAATGGAACACATTCCTTCCTAGATCCTCCAGAGGGAGTGTGGCCTTGCTGACACATAGATTTTAGGCTTATGGCCACCAGAACTGTGAGAAAATAAATTTCTGTTGTTCTAAGTCACCCAACTTGCATTCATTTCTTACAACAGCCTTGAGAACCTAATACATTATTGAATTATTTATCCAAAATAAAATTTCATCATGTACTGAATATCTAAGTTATTAATGACATATTTTCTTCTTCTTCTCCTTCTTCTTCCTGTTCCTCCTCCTCCACCTCCTCCTCCTCCTTCTTCTTTTTCTTCACTAAATCTTTGAAATCTAGCATGTGTACTTACAGTATATTTTGTTCTGGATAAGCTGCACTGTAAGTGTTCAATAGCCACATGTGACCAGTGGGTACTGGAGAGCTCAGCATAGACTGTCATCAAGACATTGTATTAAGTGATCTGAGCCACCAGTGAGTACTTTGTGATGTACAGACACTTTTCCCTTTCTCCTCTCAAAGGACCCAACCATCCCACAAATTTGTGTGGATAGATTTAGAAAGATTTTCTTATTTACATTTACCTTTCCTTCTGTGGGTACAGATGGAAGCAGCAGAATGGCCAGAAACAACACTACTGGGAATAAAGCCATTTCTGGGAAGTAAGTCAAAGAGAAGAAAATTCTGCATTAAAACATGTAGCACATGGACCTCTAACTATGAGGAAAAGCCAATATAGTGATCTTGGTTAGTTCAAAGGAACTGTAATTCCCAAATTCACACACACAAAAAAATGTAACAAGAGAAGATTATTATTTGGTTGCAGTAGAATCATAGTGAAACCAACTTTGTCACTGATAGGGGCAATAAAAAATAAACTGAAACACTTGACTGATGCTCTTAAAGTATACATATAAAGGCTAGGGACATGTCATTATATTTCTGACCAACTCTATTCCTCCTAAGTTCATTAAAAATGTGGATAATACAGATTTTTTCAGAGTTAATTATGATACTGCATTGATTATTCATCACAATTTTTGGGAAAACATTATTTTCTGTATGCACAGTCTCTTGGTTTGCTCTGCTCTATAAAAAGTAGAACTGTTTGGGGGCGCCTGAATGGCTCAGTGGGTTAAAGCCTCCACCTTCGGCTCAGGTCATGATCCCAGGGTCTTGAGATGGAACCCCGCATCCAGCTCTCTGCTTGGTGTGGAACCTGCTTCTTCCTTCTCTCTGCCTGCCTCTCTGCCTGCTTGTGATCTCTGTCTGTCAAATAAATAAATAAAATCTTAAAAAAAAAAGTAGAACTGTTTGTTCTTTTATTTACACATGATTCTAATCAAGACTCCAAAATTACGATTACACAGAAATAAATATATAGGGAGCCTGGGTGCCTGAGTCAGTTAAGGATCCAACTCTTGATTTCAGTTTGGGCCATGATCTCAGGGTCATGAGACTGAACCCCACGTGAGGCTCTGTGCTCAGCGTGGAGCCTCTTTGTCTCTGTACCTCCCCCTCTGCCCCTCCACCCCACAGGTTCATGTTCACATGCATTCTCACTCTCTCTCTCTCTAAAATAAAAAAATAAATATACAAACACTTCATTAGTGGTTATTTCCCTGGTAGAGGGATTAGAAGTTATTTTGACTTTTATTACTTATACTTGTCTGTATCTCAAATTTCCCAGTATAAAAAAATAAAACACAAATATTTTATTGAAAATCAAGCCTGTTCAAATTTGCTGAATCCATGATTTGGTACAAAAGTTATTTAATATCCTCACTAACTTTTTAAAAGACACTCAGTTTTAGGTTGTCTATGTTCTCATTTCTCAATGTTTCAAAAAAAATTCTTGGTCCTTTAGATGAAGCAACAAGCCCACTTATCTTAAAACCACTTATCTTCTGGCCATTAGTCATCTAAGTTACTCACTTTGTAAACTAAAGGAATGATGCATTGATCTTTTTTTGTTTGTTTGTTTGAGTTTAGTACTCCCAAATTTTTGAAGAGAAAAAATATCTTAAACAATTTATTTATGGTACTTCCTAGGCCTTATTGATTTGTAAATAGTAGACAATTGATACCTGTTCCATGTATTCCCTTTATCCTCAATAATGTGCTCATAAAAGGAAAAGACTGAACATTTTTTTTTTCAAAGATTTTATTTATTTATTTAACACAGAGAGAGATCACAAGTAGGCAGAGAGGCAGGCAGAGAGAGAGGAGGAAGCAGGCCTCCCGCCGAACAGAAAGCCCGATGCGGGGCTCGATCCCAGGACCCCAAGATCATGACCTGAGCAGAAGGCAGAGGCCCAACCCACTGAGCCACCCAGGCGCCCCAAGACTGAACATTTATTGACCATGCAAAGCAAAATTTGCACCTAATGTCATCATCATACTATAGTGGGTATGACTATGTTTTACAGCTGAAGAAACTGAGTGTTAAATAGTTAATTAAACTATCCCAATGGTAAGTTCTTAAGTAACTTCAGAAATTAGCCTTCCACCAAGCATAATGTCAAAGTCAATTCACATTGAAAGAAACATAGTTTCAACGGAGAAAAGCAAAATCATTTTGTAGTACACTGGAGGCACTCTTATCCTTATTTTAACAACTCCTGTATTAATACATAACCATACATGTTCATAGTAAAAATCATCAATAACATACACAATTTGTCATACTTTTACATTTCTTCTAGTAAAGATAGTTCTAGAATAATTGTTTTAAAGTCATAAACCTGAAAATTATTTTTATTATCTCTCAAGATTAAATGTAAAGAAGTTTCAAATTGATAAAGTGAGAAAAGAGTAAAATTAGCTTGATTCTTTTAATAAAAAATTATCCATAAATTTTGGAAATTATGGATAAATGTATTAAGTATATAATTTTGCCATTGGCAAAACAAAAATGACTGACACAAATTGTTCACATTAAAATAAATGAGTTATCACTTACTGTTGGTTCTCAAAGTAGGAATTTGCTTTATCTGTAGAAAGAAGGAAAGTGGAGAAGAGGTTAGAGCACAATATATGTTACATCTATTCTGTTTTAGCAATTTCTGTTTGTGCAAGTAAATCTAAGTCAGTAAATTTCTGAAACAGAATTTTTCACACCAGTATATTCAAATTTCATTGCTAGTTGTCTGACACGGCTTTTGACATTACCTGGCTTCCATACAGCATTTTTTAAAAGTTTTTAACAAGACAAACTTTATTGAGATCTAATTTACATACCATACAATTCAGTCATTTAAAGTGCATGATTCAGGGGCACCTGGGTGGCTCAGTGGGTTAAGCCTCTGCCTTCGGCTCAGGTCATGATCCCAGGGTCCTGGGATCGAGCCCCGCATCGGGCTCTCTGCTCAGCAGGGAGCCTGCTTCTCCCTCTCTCTTTGCCTGCCTCTCTGCCTCCTTGTGATCTCTGTCTGTCAAATAAATAAAATCTTTAAAAAAATAAATAAATAAAGTGCATGATTCAATAGTTTTTGCATATTACATTGTTATAAACTGCCTTTTTAATGAAACTAGATTATCTGTTTATTCAATCACTGTATTAAAATACAAGCAAAAGAACAAGCAATAATTTTAGAACATACTATGAAAAGAATTTGAAATTGTGATGTCAAAGTGGCAACAGATTTCATCAATTATATTCAGTTTTATTCCTCACATTTGTTTTTACATTTAACTTGGTCTCAACTACTGTTTACTTCTTTTCACAGCATTGGCAGGTTCTTTTTTATCCTTTAGAAAAGCATTTCCATAGACTGGTACACATACCACTTTAAAAAAAATCTTTTTATTTAAATTCAATTTAATTAAATATACGGTATTTAGTTTCAGAGGTTGAATTTAGTGATTCATTAGTTGCATATAACACTCAGTTCATCATGTGCCCTCCTTAATGCCCATCACCCAGTCACCCTATTCCCCACCCACCTCTCTTTCAGCAACCCTCGATTTGTTTCCTGGAGTTAAGAGTTTCTTACAGTTTGTCTCCCTCTCTGTTTTATTTATTTTATTTTTCCTCCCCTTCCCTTATGTTCATCTTTTTTTTTTCTTTCTTAAATTCCAAGTAGGAATGAAATCATATGATATTTGTCTTTCTCTGACTGGCTTATTTTGCTTAGTGTAATACCCTCTAGTCCCACCCATGTCATTGCAAATGGCACAATATCATTCTTTTTGATGGCTGAGTAATACTCCTATATATATATATATGTAATTTTCCATAATATGGAGTAATAGTCCATATATATGTATATATATATACACATATGGACATATATATCTATATATAGTCCACATACATGTATATATATACATATGGACATATACAATGGATAAAGAAGATGTGCATATATATATACATATATATATGCACATCTTCTTTATCCATTCATCTGTCAATGGACATCTGGGCTCTTTCCATATTTTGGAGGTTGAGGACATTGCTGGTATATATACTGAAGCACACATGCCCCTTCAGATCACTGTGTAACCTTTGGATAAATACCTAGTAGTGCAATTGCTGGGTCATAGGGTAGTTCTATTTTTAACTTTTTGAGGAACCTCCATATTGTTTTCCAGAGTGGCTGCACCAGTTTGCATTCCTACCAACAGTTTGAAAGTGTTCCCCTTTCTCTCATCTTCACCAGTATCTGCTGTTTCCTGAGTTGTTCGTTCTAGCCATTCTGACCTGCGTGAGGTGGTATCTCTTTAACATGAGTTAATACAACATGATTGCCCTCCCTAACCAGCCCTCTTCTTTTACCAAGCACACGAAAATCTGGATTCTGCTTTTTTGGCTTAGTATTTTTATAATAACTACTGAAGACTGGTTAATCACTGTGAAGGTAACCAGGATGCTACCTTATAGCTGAAGGCTCAGCTTTCTTTTACATCCCAGTTACCTACTTTTTATGACTTACTGCTTAAGAGCATAGTCTTTGGAAACCATCAGTTTTGGAAAATCCTGAGCTTCAATTTTCTCTTCTGTAAAATGTGGATTATCATATCAAGAACCTTGCTTTGAAAAAGTGAATGGGATAATATACATAAGGCCCCTAATACAATGCCTGACAAATAATAACATATGTAAGTTATTAATATTTTTATTATAATCCTTTACAATGTGCAGTAGTTTGCTATGTTCATAAGATCTTTCCATGAATGCATGGCGTTTATGATTTTAAGTTGCTAATTTTAGAAGTGTTTATAAGCCTTGTTTTATTTCTGGGTATCATTGGGAAAAAATCAGCATAATCTAATCAGAGATTCAAATGTTCAAGGCCCACTTCTACTGGACGTCTTCTGGCTAACTTTAAGAAAATGGATCTAACATTTGGGCTGTTGTATCCTTATCAGCTCATTTACAGACATATAGATTAGCCTGATAATTTTGTATGGCTCAATCATTCAATGGGATTGCGTTAGATGACCCACAATTCCATAATTCACTAGGTCAAGATCCCACATATTCCTCCCTACCACTCTCCTTTCCCCCACCCTCATTACCCAACTCATAATCATCTTTATTACATCAGTGAAAACAATGAGAAAACCCACATTCATACATAGTTGAAAAGTTTGCAGCCATTTTTTTCCTTGCTACTTACTAATGGAAAAGTACTGTGCACTTTTTTGCAGGTGTTTTAAGACTGAGGTGACATAGATCTAAGGTGTCTGTAGGAAGATCATGGTGTTCAGTTTGATAATCCTAGAACAAGGAAAAAATGATATTTAAAATAAAGATGGGAAGAATAAATAGGTAGTATCAATAACCTTTGTCACAAACTTAAAACACTGTGTTTTTAGTATTACCCCAATATTTTCCTGTATTTATTTGAGCTCACCCATTAAGACCATAATATACTTCTGAGATCAGATTATGTTTTGATGTCTCGGTATTTCCTTCAAATAACAAAAAGTGAGCTTCTTAAGGAAATTCACTTGACTTCCTTAGATTATCAACATATTTTCCAGACTCCTAAATCCTTATACACTCTTTTTTAGAAAAAATTTAGAAATATTTTATTTTTCTATTTATTTGAGGAGAAAGGGGGAGAGAGAGAATGAGCACCATGGCTTAGGTAGAGAGCAGAGGGAAAGAGACAGATTCCTAGTACTAAGCATGGAGCTCACATGGGCTCCAACCCATAACCCTGAGATCATGACCTGAGTGAAATCAAGAATCCCCACTTAAGGAACTGAGCCACTCAGGTGGTCCCCACATATATACACTCTTTAGAAGATAATTTCTATAAGTAGTCACCCACATAGTAAGCATTTACTACATGGATTTGGAATCACACCTATATGTCTTCATGTCTTTTCCTGGAAGCCAGTAGATGACATACAGTCCAGAAGAGTCAACATCTATAAGTCTAATTATTTGCAATACACAGTTTCTAATAACTGTGGGTTCAAAACACAAGTAAGAAATTAAAGTTCTTAATTTGACCTCATGAACTCCTCATTTACATGACTTGTCTTCTGCTATGAATCAGAGCATTTCATGTAAATGTAATGATTAATCTTTTAAGACAGAGTTTCAATAGGATAAACATCTATGAGAGGCACATTGAAAGTCTTTGGTGGAACGGAGATAATCAACAAAACTTAAAGCTGTCCATATGCACTGATTCAGCAGATGTGTCCACCAGAGTGTCAGAAAAGGCCGGGAGGACCACAGCACCTCTCAGCTCACCGATCTTTTTCTATCATTTCACCCCACCTCCCAGGCCCTGGTCATTTCCTTTCCCAGACTGCTCCAATTCTTACCCTGGCTCCAGAGCCCCGATCTTCCCACAGTGGGGACGGGAGCCAGAGACTGGCTGCTGCTCGCTGCTCGGACAGCGAGAGTAAAATACCCATCCAAGCAGGTGTGAGCGACGAGCGACGTCACGCGGCTTTGTGCCTTCAGCGCAGTCGTCAGCTTACTGAATTCTCACGACTGCCCCGACTCCCTGTGACGCCGCGCTGAGAAAATCCTACACAGCTTCCCTTGAGGAAAGGAAATGTCTGCTTGCCCACTTGAAGAGGAGGAAGATGGAGATAACACTAGGATTCGGAATGCACAGGGGGTGGTTGAAAAAGGCGGCATTCTTGTAGAGATAAGAATTCCTGAATTAACACAGGTCAGAATTTAAAGAGCAGATTGGTAAAAATCCACAGATAATTAAGTTTGCAATGCAATACTAGTGTAGTCCCCAAAGTGCATTCAGGGTTACATAAAGTTGGCATTTGTAGGTTTGCTCATAAACACCTAGTGTTCTTGATGCCTCTCTTCCCTTCCAAAACAGTTTTGTGGTTAAGAAATTGAGTTAAGGGGAGCCTGAGTGGCTCAGTGGGTTAAAGCCTTCTGCCTTCGGCTGGGGTTGTGATCTCAGGGTGGTCGGATCGAGCCCCGCATCGGGCTCTCTGCTCAGCGGGGAGCCTGCTTCCTCCCTCTTCTCTCTCTGCCTGCCTCTCTGCCTACTTGTGATAGGTCTGTCAAATAAATAAATAAAATCTTAAAAAAAAAAAAATAAAAGAAAGAAAGAAAGAAAGAAATTCAGTTAAGAGTAACAAGAGCAAGTCTTAGGAAAATGCCCAGAATTCCTGATCCAAGGCTGGTGGCTTCAAGTTCAGTAGGTATATCTGTCACTGGTTGAAGATGTATTGCACGTCTTCACAGAGGGCAGATGAGTAATGGATACATTTCCTCCTATGCTTAGTTGTTTTCAAGATTTAAAGGAATGAATTAACTCATCACATAGAAGATAGGTTTGGTCAAAGATGACAAACCGAGGATCAATACCCATCACATATTAACGGACTCTACCCCTACAAAGAGGCTTGAACTTTTCATTCCCACCTTTGAGACTCGTCTATGCACAATTGTCATTTTCCCCTGGCAATGTTAAAATTCCAAGAGACCAATGCACAAACATTATTTTAGTTCTCTTTTATTGCTATTTCAGTTCAAATACCATTAACTAAAAAAAAAAAAAAAAAAAAAGGAAAAGAAAAAAAATTGGAATTTAGAGGTCATCGTAACCTGCTTTAATCTTATGGTTCCTTTCAATCAAAGTTAACTTCTGACAGTTTTCTTTTCTGAATGTTTACAAAATCCATCCCTGGATCTTTCTCACTGCTATATTCATGTTTTCACTGCATCTTGCTTAGACTATTAATTTAACAGTTCAAATTCTTATGTCTACAAAGTTGCTACTCACTTATTTATAAATAGAATTGCTTAGTACATTTTTTATAAATTAGTGCAACACAATAAATTGTCATCCTGTAACAGTCTATAAATTACCATGAATATCTTATTTTTCATTCTGGGAACCACCATACCTATAATTATTACTTGTTTCCATAGATGATGTCAGAATGAGAGCAACTTGAGTGTTGTAGTGATAGATATTGTGAGTAAATATATATTTGAGAAATGGATTATATCTCTTTTGATTATTGCTATATGTCAAAAGCCTAGCATGATCCAAATTACCTAGGTAATAATTTATAAATATTTGTTGAGAGAATAAATATTGACTTGGCCTAGATTCTTAGGGAATGCAGAGAAAAACACACATCATCTCTTTCCTCTAAGACTTATAGTAATGTAGGAAAAATGCATACATACAAACATTCTCAGGTAGTGTAGTTTAGTGCTAAGTAGTTGGAACAGGGAATATCTACAACAATTGGGAATTCTGGATTAATAATATCTGGATAAAAATTATCTGAGTTAATATCTGGGTAAAAATTCCGATTTAGTTAATATTATCTTGGTAAAAATCTGGGTAAAAATATTATCTGGATAAAAAATTTCCTTTGAAAAATGCATATGACTTTATCAGAAAAATAGTTTTAACACTTGTTTGGAAGGGCAAAACAGACAAATCAATGTATCACAAGGTGTATGTAAGTCAGAATGATAGGCTATTTAAAATGTTGGGATAATTTTGCATAGAAATCTGAGGAGATTTGCTTCTTTGTATAACATGGGGAAGTAAATTCACTGATGTTTAGATAACTGGGAAAATTTATGATCAAATATTATTTTATCAAAACTACTAAATAGAATATTACTTAGCTGCACTAAGAAGTGCAAAAGGAAAAAAAAAAAAAGAGGGAGGCAAACCAAGAAGAAGACCCTTAACTACAGAGAACAAACTGATGGTTATCGGAGGGGAGTGAGTTGGGGGAAGTATGAAACAGGAGCCGTGAATGAAGGATTGCACTTGTGATGAGCACTGGGTATTGTATGGAAGTGCTGAATTACTATATTGTATACCTGAAGCTAATATTAAACTGTATGTTAACTAACTGGAACTTAAATAAAAACTTAAAGAAAATTCTACCCAATAACTCTATGTAGGGTGATTTGCAGAGTAGAGAAATTGGTGACAGAAAAAATAAGAACGTGGTGGCAATTTCCCGTATTAATTTTAGAACAGCAGAAATAGAACAGAAGTTGGGATGTGAAGAGATAAAAAAAACAGTGTTGATGATGAAGTTGGTATGGAGGGCAAATCTGGAACAGAAGACAGCTTATAGGTTTTGAGTCACTTGAAATCATATCTCCATCTATTGAAAGGAACAGTGTGGGTACTTCTAAATATTCATGTAAAACCAAAGGTTAGCAATGTGCTGAGCTGAGAGGCACAGTGTTGAAAATACCTGAGAGCTAAGGGCTAGGGTCTTGCATGATTCTGCAGAGAAATCCACTCTAATTCTTACCCTGTTCCTTTATATGTAAGATGCTCCCCTCCCCCTCCACCCATAAAGTGACCTTACTAAACTAGCTTATTAGTTTTTGTAGCTTTTTTAGTAGATTCCTTTGGATTTTCTACAAAAATCATTTTAGAGTTGTAAAGACAGTTTCTTCCTTTCTTTTCTCTTCTTTTTTTAAAAAAAATCACTTTATTTTTTTCATCTTGGTCAGTGCACTCTTTAATCCCCATCATCTATTTCACCCATTCTCCCCACCCACCTTTCCCCAGGTACCCATTAGTTTGTTCTCTACATTTAAGAATGTGTTTCTCAGTTTGTCTCTCTCTTTTTCCCCTTGCCCATTTGTTTTATTTCTTAAATTCCAAATATGAGTGAAATCATGTGTTATTTGTTTTTCACTTATTTCTCCAAGACTTATACTCTCTAGCTCCATCCATGTTGTTGCAAATGGCAAGATTTCATTCTTGTTATGGCTGAATGATATTTCATTGTATATATATGGCACATCTTTTATATCCAATCACCTTCCAGTGGATGCTTGGGCTGCTTCCATAGTTTGGCTATAAATAGTTTGGCTAATTTTGCTATAAGCATAAGGTTGTGTGCATCCCTTTGAATTAGTGTTTTTGGATAAATACTGAATAGTACAATTACTGAATCCTAGGATAGCTCCACCTTTAACTTTTTGAGGAACCTCTGCACTGTTTTCCATAGTGCTGTACCATTTGCATTTCTACCAACAGTGCAAGAGGGTCCTTTTCTCCCACATTCTTGCCAACAAGTTGTTGTGTCTTGCGTTTTAAAACCATTCTGACAGGATATGATATCTCATTGTGGTTTTGACTTGCATTTGCCTGATTATGAGTGCCAGTGAGCATCCTTTCATGTATCCCTTGGCCATCCTTGTCCTCTTTGGAGAAATGCTTGTTCATGTCTTCTGTTCATTTTTAATTGGATTATTTGTTTTTGGGTGTTGAGTTGTACCAGTTCTTTAAATATTTTGACTAACTCTTTATCAGATATGTCATTTGTCTTTGCTCATCCAGGAGGCTGCCTTTTACTGTTATTGATTTTTTCCTTTGCTATACAGAAGCTTTTTATTCTGTTGTAGTCCAAATAGTTTATTTTTGCTTTTATTTCCCTTACCTTGAGACAGATCTAGAAAAATGTTCCTACAGCCAATGTCAGAGACATTACCTGCTGTGCTCTCTCCTAGGGGTTTTATGGTTTCAGGTCTCACATTTAGGTCTTTAACCCTTTTGGAGTCTACTTTTGCATATGGTACAAGAAAGTGGTCCAGTTTCATTCTCTTGCATGTGGCTGCAATGGATTTTCCTAATACAATTTGCTGAAGAAACTGCCTTTTTCCCATTGTATATTCATTCCTCCTTTGTTGAGGATTAATTGACCATATAATTGTAGATTTATTTCTGGATTTTCTTTTCAGTTCTACTGATCTGTGTGTCTGTTTATATGCCAGTACCATACTGCTTCCATTACTATAATTTTGTAATATAACTTGTAATGTAATGCATTGTGATACCTCCAGGTTTGCCTTTTTTTTCCCCTTTGTTTTCAAGACTGCTTTGTGTATTTGAGGTCTTTCGTGGTTCCATGCAAATTTTAGGATTCTTTGCTCTAGTTCTGTGAAAAATGCTACTGGTATTTTGATAGGGATTGCATGCAATCTGTAGATTGCTTTGGGTAGTATAGACCTTTGTTCTTCCAACCCATGAGCATGGAATGTCTTTCCAATTCTTGGCATCATCATAAATTTCTTTCACCAGTGTTTTATGGTTTTCAGAGTACTGGTCTTTCACCTCTCTGGTTAAGTTTATTCTTAGATATTCCTGTTTTGGGTGCAATTATAAATGGAATTATTTTCTTATTTTGACTTTCTGCTGCTTTATTATTAGCATATAAGTATGCAACAGGTTTCTGTGACTTTACTGAGTTCATGTGTCAGTTCTAGTAGTTCTTTGGTGGAGTCTTTAGGGTTTTCTATATAGAGTATTATCAGAGTTTTACTTCTTCTTTACCAATTTGGCTTTTATTTCTTTATGTTTTCTAACCACTGTGGCTAGCACTTCTAGGTCTCTGTTGAGTAAATGTGGTGGAAGTGGACATCCTTGTCTTATCCCTGAGCTAAGGAGGAAAGCTCTCACCATTTTTTTTTTAAAGATTT